GCCTCCCAAGTAGCTGGGACCACAGGCGCCCGCCACAACGCCCAGCTATTTTTTGGTTGCAGCCGTCATTGTTGTTTGGCGGGCCCGGGCTGGGGATTCGAACCTGCCACCTTAGGTGTACATGGCTGGCGCCTGAGCCGGTTGAGCTATAGGCGCCGAGCCGGTTTGCTTCTTTACAACCTGACCAATTCACAGATGACATTGAGAAGAGGAAACGTCAGCGCCAAAAGAAGGCTCGAGAGGAACGCCGTCGAGAGCGCAGGATTGAGATGGAAGAGAATAAGAAACAGGGCAAGTGTGAGTTCAGGAACTTTTGTCTTTGACTAGTACTGCTGTTGACCTCATTGTATGGGGCCCCTCAGCCCAGGCGGAGGAGCCAGACTGCTTGGGTTCATTGATTCAGCTTTGCCAATTGTCTTCTTCAACTCTTACGTGTGAATAGTGAGAGTGCTTCCTTTATCGGCTTGAGATTTTTGCAAGTTAATCAAAGTGCATAGCATATAGTAAGGACTAAAATGAAACTCAGCCTTGGCATAGTGGCTGGCAAAATCCTGTTCCAGGGAATTAGAACTCTGCTGAGAATACTGGAGATCACTGCTCTGTAGATCACTAAACTTACCTCTGACTATTAAATGGGACAGCTGTACTCAGTCAGCCAGGATGGTCTGATAAGATAGAAACTTTGACAGACTAGGAAGTACTTGTAGGAAGTTAGATTTAAGAGGTTATTTGTACTGGTAAACACAGAGTATTCTGATCTGGTTAAGCATCATTGAATCCAGGGCGTCAGTGTGACATCAAGACCTCTTTAAGATCCACCAGAAAACAAGGAATTGAGTCTTCAGTGAGCAAAAGACTTAGATGTTTCAACTCCATATGATATAGAGTGTACACCTCAAATTAGGATAAGTGTGTACCTGAGATTGTAACACTGGAGGTATCTAGCATATGTCTGAAAGTTTGGGGAAAACTGATGTTTTAGGAACAGGATTTTAAAACGATTCAGATAAGTAGAATGGTATAATTAGCCCTCCATGTTTATCACCTAGGTTCAGTTATGAATAGTTGGAACAAGGCTTTTATGTTAAAACAAAGATATAGAATGACAGTTATTATAAATTTGGGTTTTAAAACTTCTCTTTGCATTTGCCAGAGCTTTAGGGGTATGCATATTGGCTATCCTGAGCTGTTGGATAAGATTTAAGGAATTCTGTAAATGGGCCAATCAGTGTTGTCTTTCCTTTGCAGATCCAGAAGTCCACATTCCCCTAGAGAATTTACAGCAGTTTCCTGCCTTCAATTCCTATACTTGCTCCTCTGATTCTGCTTTGGGTTCCACCAGCACTGAGGGCCGTGGAGCCCTCTCTCTTTCTCCTCTTAGCAGAAGTCCAGGTTCCCATGCAGGTAAGTACAAGTTGGGATTTAATGAATACAGCCATCTGCTAGACTTTAAGCAAAGTGTTTGTGTCTTAAATTTACAACCCTATATGGTGCCTGTGGCTTAGTGAGTAGGGTGCCAGCCCCATGTACCAAGGGTGGCGGGTTTGAACCCAGCCCCGGCCAAACTGCAACAACAAAAAAAATAGCTAGGTGTTGTGGCGGGTGCCTGTAGTCCCAGCTACTTGGGAGGCTAAGGCAAGAAAATCACCTAAACCCAAGAGCTGGAGGTTGCTGTGAGCTGTGATGTCATGGCACTCTACCGAGGGCAATGAAGTGAGACTGTCTCTTAAAAACAAAAAAAAATTTACAACCCTCACCTACTCAGCATAGTGTGATTGGTGAATAACCTTGGAGTCCCAAGGTATGTCAGATTCTGCCATTTGATTCACCCTTCCTATTGGCTGTACTGATGGACAGGATAATGAAGCCTAAGTTCTTTCTGTGTCCCCACTTTTTTTTCCTAGTTTTTACATTTGCAGTACTCCCTGTTTGCCTGGGCATCTTTGTATGTGTCTCTTTTACTGTAGCATTATTATAATAACTAAAAAGAAGAAAAGAGAGCAAACAACTTAAAAAACCTACCAGTAGAGAAATGGGTAAATTATAGCATTCATGCTATAAAATGTTGCATACCTGTTGAAGTAGCAAATAGTTCTGTTCATGGACTAATGGGAAGATAAGATGATGTAGAATAAGGAGAAATATATTATTTGTGACTTAGAAAAAAACCTTCTGCAAAACGAAAGCATTTCATTATGGGTTTTTATATTTAAATGTATAGAAAAATATTGGGGTAGATATGTTCCAAACTGTAATAGTGTTTTATACTAGGGAGTGAAATCAAGATTGAGATGTTGTTCAAAGAGGCCATAAGCCATTTTTAAAAAATACTTTTTCTTGGGAGTGGTGGCTCACACATAATCCCAGCACACCATGCAGCACGAGGCTGGAGGATCACTTGAGGCCAGGAATTTTTTTTTTTTTTTTTTTTTTAAGAGATAGAATCTCACTATGGCTTTGGCAGAGTGCTGTTGTGTCACAGCTCACAGCAACCTCCAACTTTCAGACTTAGGCGATTCTCTTACCTCAGCCGCCCAAATAACTAGGATGACAGGCACCTGGCTATTTTTTGTTGCAGTTTGGCTAGGGCTGGGTTTGAACCCTTGGTATATAGGGCTGGCGCCCTACTCACTGAGCCACAGGCGCTAGTCTGGTCTCAAAACTCCTGGCCTCTGGGCAATATAGCAAGACTCTGTCTCTACACACAGTAAAATAAATAAATGAAATACTTTTTTTTAATATAGAGAATTAAAGTGTTATGAATTAAGCACTTAATAGTTACTGTGATTTCAGAGAGCTGTCTTTTGTGATCTTCATTTGTCTGGAGGATAGTTGTTTTTTTTTAAGAGACAGAGTCTCTATCACTCTCGGTACAGTGCCATGGCGTCACAGCTCACAGCAACCTCCAGCTCTTGGGCTGAGGTGATTCTCTTGCCTCGGCCTCCTGAGTAGCTGGGACTATAGGCGCCCGTCACAATGCCTCACTATTTTTTGTTGTAGTTTGGCCAGGGTTGGGTTTGAACCTGCCACCCTTGGTATATGGCGCCCATTCCCTACTCACTGAGCCACAGGCGCCACCCTAGCGGATAGTTTTTGACACTTAAGACTTCTCTGTCAGTATATAAAGCTCCTAGTAACCCTTGTGATCCTGTGCCTATCATGCAGATCAGGAACCTGAGTCTTAAGTCAGGGATTTAGTGGCAGGAACTGGCATTAGAACCTGGTTCATGCCTGTAATCCTAGCAATCTGGGAAGCTGGGATGGGTGAATTGCCTGAGCTCATGAGTTTGAGACTAGCCTGAGCCAAAGTGAGACTTCATCTCTAAAAATAGCCAGGCGTTGTGGTGGGTGCCTGTAGTCCCAGCTACTTGGGAGGCTAAGGCAAGAGAATTGCTTGAGCCCAGTTCATTGCTGTGAACTGTAATGCCATGGCACTCTACCCAGGGTAACAAAGTGAGACTCTGTCTTTAAAAAAAGAAAAAAAAAAAATAGAACCTCGTTCTTCAGTATTGCATCACTGTGATGTTCTTGTGCTTAACTGAGAAGGGAGCTATTACACAAAGGACTGTGACAGATCATTGGATATGTTATCTGCAAAATAAAGATTATATTTTTACATATTGGCTTTTCTGAAAGTTTGGATTTTTACTGTATTTAGGCAAGAGCAGTTGGATGGTCCTAGGAATCAAGGTACTAGACAGCCCTCAATGATGGAAAGGCCTACTACTGGGTGGGAGAATAGGCTTCTGGTCCAGCAGTGATTAGGGCAGTGGTTGGATGGATGTGTGTCAAGTGTTCCAACTCTTGGTCAGAAAGAGTAGAGTATAACCTAGGGAGTATCAGGGTAAAGATTGCATCTTCATGCTGGATCTTACTGATATGTCTTGGATTCTGATTGAATTACTCCCAAGTCATAGACATCTTCTGACTGTAACATAAGGGCTGGCCTGTTTAAATTTTATCTTTTTGAAGAGCTTCTTGCTACACATAAAACCAGTCAGTGGCAGAAACTTAAGCCTTGAGAACTAGCCTTTGTAGAAAGTATAGCATTTTGTAAGAAATGAGTTTTTCTTACTGTGGGTATAGATTCCACCCTGACTCCTGGTGTCATTGTAACTATGAAGCCTTTTCTTTCTCTATACTGGTCACTATTGTAATAGGCAGTTTTTGTTGTTGTTTAGTTTGGCTTTATAAGAACATGGCAGAGTTGAAGGTTGGATCAAGCTTTGCTTTTTTGAGGGATGGGTGGGGAATTTGGTAATTATTCAGACCTGATGCAGGGTGCATCTCGTTAACAGAACACTAGCTCTTTGGAACTTGACTCGTATAATCAAGTCCCTGGTTCCCTTTCAGACTTTCTGCTGACCTCTCTGTCACCCACTGCTGGTCAGGGCAGTCCCTCATTCTGCGTTGGGAGTCTGGAAGAAGACTCTCCTTTCCCTTCCTTTGCTCAGGTAAATCTTACACTTGTGAAGCAACCCAAAGGTATTTAACATTAACTCTGCTGCTTGTTATTACAGGAACCTCACGTAGGGATTGTTACCTCTCATCCTAATACAACTGTACCAATCAGTGGTTCTCAACCTGTGGGTCACAATCCCATTGTAACAATTAAAATACATCCTGCATATCAGATATTTACATTACAATTCATAACAGTAGCAAAATTATATTATGAAGTAGCAACAAAAATAATTTTATGGTTGGGGGTCACCACAACATGAGGAACTGTATTAAAGGGTCACGGCTTTAGGAGGCATTAGGAAGGTTGAGAACCACTGGTACAAATCAGGTCATCTGATGGGTGTAAGGGGTATTAACTTTTAGGCAGCAAAGAGTTGGCTCAAAGCAGATTATGTTGTGGATGGTCCCCTCTGTTGGAGAAAGAGACTTACAGGCCAGTGTTGAATGACCTTTTTTTTTTTT